CTAGGTTTCAAATTTGTTATTTTTTTTTCGATTTTCCTTTTTCCTTGCAGTTTTTCCAGCCGTAATTGAATTGAATACATGATTTTTAATTGGAAAGAGAAACAAATTTAGTTGCAATTGAATTAAATGCATGATATTTAATTGGAGAGAGAATGAAATCCTAATTGGAGAGAGAAATATGGAGAAAAATAAAGACTTACAAATTAATTGCGTATTTAATGGTTGGAGAGAGAAGAAGACATGCTGTGAGAAATAAATCTCGTAATTGTGAAATAAAAAACACCACCAAGTCCTATTTTGATTGAACTCTCTCCAAATGGTATATATGATAATTTTTGTTATATAGAGTCTATGTATGTAAATTTCCCTTAATTAATTTGGCTTCGGGCCCCTTTTAACATTTCAAATTCTAGCTATTGTTAACAACTTAAACATAGGAGTCTATGAATTATTTAAAATAAACGTGGAAAACTCCTACCATAATCTATATAATAAATATAGATTAAAAAAATTATTTCCTTAAATTTTTTATTTATAAACTGATTTTAAAATATTTGACAATTTTCTAATAAAAATATGCATATTTGTAAAAATAGTACTGTGTAGCTAATGGTTAGGCTGGGCCTAAACAGAATTTGTTTATTCATATTTTCTTTTATGATTTTCTTAGATGTATTTAATAATTGCTGTATTTTTAAACTTTTGTTTATAATAACTGTTTAACTGTAATTTCAAATTTCATAAACATGTATAAATAATTTTATTTATAAAATATATAATGCATCCATCAAAGGACATTTGTATAAATTATTTTGTAGCATTGGTCGTGTACCGAGTCTTATTTTGGTTTCTAGGATTGTTAGTGTCTGATTTAGGTAGTCTTTTGATTTGTCCTTCTAATTTATTCAGTTATTAGTTTCCTGTTCAACTAAGAGTTGTGTATATGCACATTTGTGCGTTTTGATTTATAAAAATCTCTATTGTTTTCAAAAAAAAAAGACACATACATACTTTGAACAAGCCTTATAAATATATTTCTCACTTAATAAATATCAAGATAACAATACATAAAATGAAGAAAAAATGTATTTAAACAATCAAAGTGAACATTTGTATATGGACTCCAAGGAGATCTCTACATTTTTTACAATTACAATTGGCTAAAAAGTAATTCAATAATGTTACAATTTCTCTCTCAATCATTTAAAAAAGAATTATAAAAAAAAAAATAGTCAAAGTTACTAAACTCACATCCCCCAATTTCATTCATGTTAAATGTCATTACCCTAAATCCTACAAATCAAGAGAAAGGTGTCACAATTTGTACCCAAATGGCACATAAAGCCAAAGCAAAGGTCAAATAATGCTTCATATTGCTCACTTCACCACATAAGCTCACTTCATCATCAAACTTCATAATCTTCAAGCTCATGCTCCTCACCATATTTCTTGAAAATGCCACCAAATTTTCCGAAAAGTTTCCATTTTTAGAAACTCCCATCGAGCCCCCTTTCGCTATAGGAAAACGGTACATCATTGTGGGGTTTATGTGGACTTCGACCGTCTTAGAAGGCACGACTTTGTGGTAGAATGTATTAGGCGCCTGTCGGGTCGAAACAAGCAACCCGCGACTGATTTCGATCTTCTCGTTCACTTCGAAGTTTGGCGTGCTTGAGAAATCATCCATGTGATCTTTATTGGAGAAATTCTCTATTGAGAGAAATCATCCATGTTAAGTGTTAAAACTATAAATGATCATAAGACATGTGTAGATTAATAAAAAATTTAGGATTATAAAATCAATTAATGTTTAAATTACAATTACAAACCTTCAAACTCTTGGTATTCTCTCTGGATATTAGAGAAATTCTCTATTGGAATTGTCTTGAAATCATCTGAAAATGCCTGTCAAAAATCATAAATAAATAAATACAATAAACAGACATAATTAAGTTAATTATTTAGTACTATATAGTAAAAAATAAATAAAAAAAATATAACCTTTTCAAGTTCCTCATCAGACATTCCAATCCATCTCAAATTCTCATCCATTCTCCTAGTCATGAAAATTTCATCTCTTTCACCACCAATTTCAATGTATTGGGA